CATGGCAGCACCCTTGGTCATGTACATGAGCATGAACAAGATCTTGAGAGATTCCATGTTGTAGACATGTCTGTTCAGGTTCAAGTATCCTTTGACCTGTGTAATCCAGGTCTGGAGGCCATTATGGCTTGCATCATATTCACTGGGATGCCTGATGTTAAACTCCTGACCTCCATTGGGTGGACAGGTCGAGTAGTCATCATCTTCATCAGCTCTGGCTTTCCCCTTACTGCCACCACTGGCAGGTAGCTCTGGGGGTACAGCCTTTCTGAAGTTCCTATGATACCATTCTCACAAAGCCAAGTCAGTAGGCATACCTGTTGGGAACAGGTCACTTGCAGTTGCATGCATAGCCTGGTGGAGCTCCTCCACCATAGCAACTCTTTGTTCTTCCAACCTTTGTCTCAGTTCCTCTTCTGAAATGGTCCTTGGGGGCATTTCAGGAACCAACTCTCCATGACCAACAGTATGGACATTTCTTCTTTATTACATGCTTCTTGTTCTTCCTTGAGGACTGATCTGAAAGAAGTTTCAGACTTCTGATTGTCTTCTTCTGAACTAAGCGTGATTTCCAAATCCCTAAAATGGGACAAATAAGATAACTGGGGGTATGTTGTGGCAACTGAAGGACTGAGTCTTCCTAGCAGGATGGGCAGTAACAGCAGATTTCTGCCAAGCCCAGGGGGTTAGGATGAGGAGGGACTGGTGGTCTTGATTTCTGCAGGTTAGACACTTTTATGGATAGTGACAATGAAGGCTGAGGGAGGAATTATTTCTTGAAAGAAACCTGTCAGTGTAGAGGGGTAGTTTGTGTGCGAGTGACTTTACATGTAGGGAGACATGAGTGCTGACTCTAGGGAGGCGATCTATTAAAGCCTAGTGGCTGCCTGTAGAGCAGTAGAGTTGATTAGGGTAGAGGGGACACTTCTTGATCTTGTTACTCGAGTAGTGGGATGAAGGCAAGTCAGTCTTTATGTGAAAGGATGGTCTGTTGAAGTTCAGTAACCAGGGATGAGTAGACTTTCATGAAGAGGTCAATGAGTCCCAAAAGCTGCACTGAGTTTTTTGATTTTGTTATGCCTGAGTGTGGTGACTTCTTCAAATGGAATAGGCATGAGGCATGCAAGGGGGAGTCTATGGGCCAAATGTGTCATAACCCCTATGGCTCAGTTATTGCAGTGGTCTGACAGAGGTTTGCTCCTTCTGGTGAGTTCTTCTGAGATCACACTGAGGAGGGAACAAGGATGAGAGTGAAGGGATGAAGCTGAGTTGCAAGCTATTGAAAAACTGAGGATACAAGGTAAAGTACATGGGTTTATATACCCCTAAGTAAGAGTACCATACCAGTCACAATGAGATGCATATCTGCAGTAATCAATGAAACAATCAGTCAAATAAATAAGTCAAGGGGAGTCATATGGTGTCATATGATGGGGGTATGGAAGGAAACAAAGGCTATACTGGCTGCACAATCAATGCACAGCAAGGAGCCAGACACCGGAGCTATAGTACAACATATAAGCAACATAAACAAGTCAGAGACAAGTCAGAAAGTAAGAACATAACATGTCGTCCATTAGAGAGGGCAGTGGAACACTGGATCAAACAGGAGGTGCAGTCTTGACAGGTATTGGAAATACCATGACAGCAGGAGATCTGAAGGAGCCTTGCAGCAGGCAAGCCCCTAGGATGGCAATGATTATGAGAGATGCAACAAGGCACATGACACATGTGACCACAAGAAGTCAAAAAAGGAAAGACCCCTGACATGGGTGCAACAAGTTGAGGCTCATTTGGAAGAGTCTATCTACCATCCTTCATCATCTGCAGTCCACCTCATGCTTAGTCAGCAGGTTTCACTTAGTCATCTAACTACTCCTGTGTAGCTCATCATCAACTTGCACCAGGAGCACTTTTTATCAAGGTCCATCATTCCAGAAGTCCTTTCAGCTGAACACCTTCACTCTTTTCAGCATCCCCCATCCAGTCATCACTTGCTTGTCTACTCCTGCATAACTCATTATTGACTTGCACCAGGAGCACCTGCCATTGAACTCCCCCCCCCATATGAGATTCTTCTGTACTCCCAGGTTCTGCAGAGGCAAACCACCACTTGCTCATATTTGCCTTTTGTGTTGGATTTGTTTGGTTTTCACCACCTTTCCACACTTTGACTCACACTGCTGATCAAAAATTTTACCTACCACACTTCCATAAACTATATACACTACTGGCTGGTAATCATCAACCAAAACCTACCCCCCCTTCTCTTAATTGTTGTCATCCACAGGTCAATGAGTGCTACTTAGCCATGGCAGCACACCCCACACTATCTCATAATCACATGAGGACCCCAAGCAACCAAAAGCACCCTACATTTCCCAGAGAACACACCCACTGTGGGGAGCAGGTATCTGCTACCTAGTGTGGGGGTGTGGGCTCCAGCCTAGGGATAGGTGATCTGACTGGGGTGAGTTTGACCCAAGGGGAGTCACTCTAGCTGTAGGAGGGTGATGTCAAGTCCAGGCCCACTCTGACCAACTCTGATGCTAGACAAGGTCTGGGGAGAGGTTCAGAAGCAAGTCTGACAGAAAGAACTGAACTCTGACTGGTGGAGTATTGGCAGGAACAAAGTCTGCCAAGATAAAGATAAAGGCAGAGCAGAGTGAGGGCATTGGGTTTAGCTCATGTGCTACCCCCTTGCATGATCTCAGCCCTCATATTTCAGAGGGAAAGTACAGACAGAGAGTTGGAGGTAACTCTGACAGGCAGAAGATGGAGACAGAGGGAGTAGGAACTAAGTTGATATTCATACTGAAGAACATTGGAGTACAATACATGCTTTTTATACTACCACAGAGGTACAGTAACCAGAATTGGAACTGACATATGGAGACTCATAAATTTTCAAGTAAAACTTCCTAGACAACAAATGAAGGGTAGATGGAGGACATATGAATGGGTAACATAGGACATCCAAAAAAGGAACAGTCCAGGCACTGGACCATGCAGTGCACATGCTGTGGAGTACCTGACTGTGTGCTGCCAGGGAGAAGTCTGAAGGGTAGTCACATGACTCCTCAGAGAATGGTCCATGCAGTCTGGTAGGAGAGCAGTACAAGTCTGACAGCAGTTGGAGCAGAGATGACTCATAAACATCAGAGAGTGGGTGGAGTTGGTGTGGAGTGAGTGAGGACTTAGGATGAATGCATGGTCATGACAGGTGATAGGAATGAATGTGACCAAGTTGTGTGAGTTGCTCAACCTGTAAACAGAAAGTGCAGTGGATGAGGGAGTGCACAGGCCTTGAGCCTGCCTAGAAATCTGTCAGAACTATGCCTGTGACTCAGCACTAGGCAGGGGAAAGTGAAGGGATCATGTCAACATCATTGTTCTGCTTGCTCTCTCTGTCTCTAACTCAGGGGCCTCAAAGTTGTTATTTTTTTCCTGTCAATGAGGACAGGTGTAAGTGTAGCTACATGCCAAGTATGTAACTATGAAGTAAGCAATGTCAAAGGTGAAAAGATTGACAAGAGATGATGGGAATTAGGTAAGGTCGATGTAATGATGGCCATGAAGCTAGAATAACATCAGTAATCAAAAGAGAGACTAAATGTAAATGAAGCAAAAGTGATCCAAACAGAAGCAAACAAGAAGAGAATGAGAGTGATAGCAAGGTGCTTACAAATCTGATGGTGTGGACATGAAGAGTGCCAGTGAGCAAGCACAGGCAACTGGACACCTGTCACAAGTGTTGGACTTCATTGCAATGACTAGGGAGAGTGTCAGAAGGTGATGCAACTATGGGGGAAGCAGGTCAACAGAGGAAGGCATAGAACTGGGTCACCTGGAGTGCAGAGGGTGTCAAGGTTGCTTGAGAGGGGTCGCATTTGTGTCACATTTGTCACAAACCCTACAGCCACTTAGTAAACCTCCAATTGACACTATACATATACTCCTAGTGTAGGGAGATCCTTCTCCCCACACTGCTCAGTGTGGGACACTACCTCTGGGTAGTGTGCAATTAGGGGGGGGGAAGCTGCAGGGTAATCCCTAGGCTTGACCCAAGGGGTGCTGAGTAGGAAGGAGATGTAGAATATGATGGTAGAGTCAATCAAGGAGTTGAATGTGGGGCATGGAATTTAATTCTGCAGAGATGTAGGTGAATTGGGAGTGAGTAGACTTGTTTGTGAAATTCTGAGTGATGACCTTGGCACAAAGAAGTATTTCCAAGACTTGTGAGACATGGAGGTGAGACACAGAAATGCACAAGACACAGTAGACACAGAGTATGCAGCAGACACTTTGAACACCTAGACATGCAAATGACTCAGATAGTGACTCCAAAGAATGGGTGGTCTATTTCTGACATCCTGTTGGAATTATATAGTACAAGGGAAGTAGGTACAAGTTGGAGTAAGGTGGGGTGGAAAAAAGACTGGAAAATAAAGGAATGGATGTCAGATGTCAGCAAAATACAGATGCACATGAAATAGTCTGGTGGGTAGCAGACAAGAGTAAGAACAGGACAATGATAAGGGGTATCTTCCAACAGAATGAGAGTATGCATACCAGTGGGAGGTGGAGCTGAGTGGCACAGGAGGGCAGAGTGTAGCATACCAGCACAAAGTCCAGCTTGCAGAATTTAGGGCAACAGGGGAAACCAGAGTTTTTTTAGAGGTAAGTGGCATGGATGACTGGTGATGTGGCTGAGTGGTGGCACAGCTGTTGAATTCTGGGTGACTCTGCACAAATGCAGAATTTCTGGATTAGAATTTTGATGACTGAGCAACATGCTGAAGGTCAGTAGAAACTCTGAAGGTGACAGGGGTCAGGAGGAAACATGAGGACATGAGTGGGAAAAATTCCAAAATGGGTTTGTTGTAGAGGCCTGTGGAATTTAGTGACAGATTCCTGTTCCAGCCTCAGGGAGTATACAGCTCCCTACACCTCCCAGGAACTTCAAATGCTGACTGTCCTTGGTCAGACCAAACCAAGACATGACAGAGACGAGTGCAGAATATTGGCAGATGTTACATAACAATGATGGTGTGTAGTTGGAATTCTGCCTTGTGCAGAGGGAAATTCCACAGTGTACAAGATGGCCCTGTGGAATTTAAATGTGCTTGGAAGGTGTCTCACCACTTGTCAAACATCCGCACCCCAGCTACACCCACATCCACTACCCAATCCATACCCAACCTTCACCATGCAAGCCTACTCAATCCATGATGCATGACCAGTTTGCAGCATGAGGGACCAGGCCATCACCTTGCTGGTGGCAGTGTTAAGGCACATTAGGGTGCTAATCAACACAGCACCACAGCCCAAAGAGAGCTTAGAGGCAATATATGAGTGGGTGGAGGACTGGGACCAGACCTGGGTGAGTGCACTAGAGACCCATGCAACACAATGCACTAACCAATCCCCAGGCTGGGATCTACTTGTGGTGGAAGTATGTTGATAAGAACAAGATTTCTATCCCGAAGGTGCATGATGCCAACCTACATGACATGACCAAGGAATCTGCAATATGGCAGAACAAGGTGATCCCTGGGGCAATAGCAATAGCAGATCTCCAGTGGCCAGAAGGGCAGCATAGGTTCAACATTGATGACCTTTTTGAGGACTACCAGGAGTCAGTAGAGGAGAGAGCACAGATGGAGGCTGAGAGGTTGGCCAAGGCACCATCCATGCACACCTGGGGCCAAGCAGCAAGAGGTGAGGGCCGAGACTGCACACCAGAAGACACCAAAGGAAACCCATCAAGAGGAGCTGCATGCTTGACAGGGGAGGGCTCTGGTAGTGTGAGCAAGGGAAAATGGAAGCAGAAGGTGCACTCTACAACCTTGACAACTCCAAGCATGCACACTGACTTCAATGAAAATTCCACAGGCCACCAGTGAGGAGGATGAGCTGGCTGATGATGATGAGGGCAATGGTGAACCAGGTCCATCCACAAAGGGACCTCATGCAGCTGGGGACAACAAGCCCTGCAAGACATGTGCCCAGGAAAACCTTGCATGCATTGGGGAGCCAGAGGCATCCTGCAAATGGTGCAGGAAGGCAAAACACAAGTGCTTGCACTCTCAAGGTGTAGGGAGAAAGGTGAGTACTGCACAGGTGAAATTCTGCAAGGGAACAAGTTGACACCACCTTCAGCAAAAGAACTCTGGTACCATTGGGGAGGCAGGGCTGTCCCACAAACAAGTCAAATTGTTTATGACCTCAAAGCCAGCCCCAGCAGAATCTGCAACTGAACCTGTCAAGAAGCTTACTCTGAAAATTCTGGCTTGAAAATGGCAGCCTGATCCGACCCCCACATGCTTGCCTTCGCCAGATCCAGCTCCTTCACTTCATGGTCCTTTGTCAACACCCTGTCTCTTTTTCTGCAGAGCCACTCCAATGCCCGGACCTGCACCCAAGCCCTCACCAGTCCCTGTCAATGATCCTCACATGTCACTCCCAATAAATGAACTGCAAGTTGAGATTGAACCATTTTTTGTGACTGCAACCAGTTTACTGGATGAACCTGGAGGTGTTGAAGTGATGGCCCAGAGCGACACTCCATTGGCTGCAGAGATTCTGGAGGTTGAATACCCATGCAAGCAGTCAACAGTGAACTTCATTGAGCATCTGCGAGTGCTCAAGGCAAGGGCCAAGGATGAGGAATTCAAGCTGGAGATGTTGGCAAGGTGGGTAACACATTGGATCAAGACTGTGCAGGCTAGATGGGAGGAGCTGCAAAGGTTGAAGGATGATCTCCAGGACCTGTAAATAGTGTACTAGAGTCTGTGGAATTTTTTTTTTTGTACTTGTATGCTCCAAATTTGTAAGAGGTTTTCATGCATCAGTATTAGTACTACAGTAAGGGAAGGAAAAGTAAGACTTCTGAAGGAAGAAGTGTTAGAAGTGTTGCGGAATTTTTTTTTTTTTTGTGACTCTTTCATGTGAGTGGTGCAGAATTTATACAAGAGATGAAAAAGGTATTGATAAAAGAAAGAACAGGGAAAGAAAAGAAAGGAGGTAGAGAGAAGGATGGACTACTCATCTGACTTGTCCAAAGGGATGCCAGTGAGCATAGGGTCTGGGAATGCATCATCTTCAAGCTAATCCAGGTCTTGTGAGGAAGTGCCAGTCAGCTGGGTGACTTCAATACAAGCATTATTCCATGGGAAATAGGGGTATAGGCGAAATGCAGTGAAGTGGAATTTTGAGATAGTGCCATCTAATTACACAAGTATGTACGAGCCACCTTTAGTGTGTCTGACAACAATCATAGGCCCTAGGTAGCATGGTTTGGTTTTCCAGTCAAGTTCCAGTTTGATATGGGAACTCTGCATGAGGACAAGCGACCCTGGTTTGAAGTTAAAGTCTTTGATAGAACATGCAAAACAGTTGATGAAATCCTTGGCTGAGGCAAAGTGGGATTTTAGGACCAGATCATGGATGTGAGTGAGGTCCTCCAGGCATTTCTGTAGTTGGTGAGCACAGTGAGCAATGAGGTCTGTGGTCAAGTAAAATTCTGCCTCAAAAGGGGCTAAAAACATTGCTTCGACCAGATCAAAAGGGAGTCTGGGTTCAACACTGTGAACCATATAGAATGGAGAAAACCTGGTTGCCTTGTGGACTGTAACCCTCTCTGCCCAAAATACCACAGGGGCTACTTCTGACCACCTTGACACTTCCCCACTACAACTTTTTACCATTGCCTCTCTTACATCAAAATGCTGCTGTTTGACAACTCCATTAGCCTGTGAGTTATAAGGAGAAATGCATATGTGATGAATTCTGAAGGTCCTGGAGAGCCAGTCAAGAGCAAGAATGTACAGTCCCCTGTTATCTGTGACAATCTCTGCAACAGCACCCCAACAGCACAGGATCTGCTTGAAGATGAATTTTCCAATGGTCTTGCCAGTTTCTGTGTGATGCATAGCCCACTCTGGATAACTAGTGAGTGAACAGCAAGCTTGGGTGACATAGCAAAATCTGTTTGACTTTGGCATTAAGAACATGTCCATATATGCTTTAAAGAATAGGGGCTCAGGGATGGTGATGACTGGTGGAATATGTACATGATCCAAATGGCATATTTGGCACTCATGACACAACTTAACGTACCAGCAGATGTCCTGCTCTAGCATAGGCCACCAGAAATGAGTCAGCAAATGCATGCAGGTTGAGTAGATACCCTTGTGTCCTAGCTCATCATGAGCCTGACAAAGGATCCCGAGTCATTTGTGAGGGGTGACTACTAGATGGTGATGTCCTTGAGGGTCTTTTCTCCACAGCTCTCCTCCTTTGACAAAATACTGAGTGGCAAGATGCACCAGGCTTTCTGGCTCCCCTTCCTCCAATCCCTCTGGCATCTTCTTTGTCTCCAAAATTTCCTTCACCACTTTCAATCTCTCCTCTCTCTGGATCACTTTCTCTGAGTGCAGAATTTCTGTCTCATAGACACTCAGTGAGGTTTGTTCAGAGATGCCTAGACTTGGTGACAAGACCGAAGGTGAGTCTGACAAGGTACTTAGAATTTCCGAAGGGTAAGGCTGGGACTTGAATCCAGCCTCCCTACAGTTCAAGAGCTCAACAGTGAAGGCTCCATACTCATCTATCCAGTCCTTGTAGTCCTCTTCCCCATCCTCATCTTCTTCTGCTCTCAGTCTCCTTGAAAGACCATCCAGTGCCACATGCTTGTGTGCAGGGACATGTATGAGCTCGAAGTCGAATAAAAGAATTCCTGCAATCCAGCAGTCGATGGTAGCATTGGGCTGTGAGTTGGGATTGTTAATCATCCCCTTTATATATTGCATGTCAACCTCAACAACTAAATTCTGCATGCTGAAAATGTGAAGTCTGACATTGTGTAAAGTGTGGAAAAGACCAAAGAGCTCCAGTTTAGCTTGACTGTAACAGCATTCACAGTCATTGAGAGTTATTGAGCTGAACCTCGCAGGGTAGCATTTTTCATCTGCCCCCTCCTGCATGAGGAGGTATCCTACAGTGATATTGATATTTGAAGTGTTGACCCCTAGAATGACCTTCCTTTCAGAATTGTAGCTGATAGTACGTAGCATGGGAGATGAGATGATAGCCTGGCATAGATATTCCATGGCTTCTCTGTGTTCATTGTGGAATTTGAAGGGGATGTCTTTCTTGGTCAGCTCGATGAGGGGATGTGCATGTTTAGCAAAATTTTTGATAAAGATCCTGCAATATGAGCAAAGACCTAAAAATCCACACACTTCAGTAATGTTTGTGCAGTAGGGCCAGTCTTTAATCTTTTGGACTTTAGCTTCATCTGGAATTCTCCCCTCAAATGACACCTTATGCCCAACCACCATGATAGATGGTGCAGCAATGACACATTTCTTTGCTGAGACAGTAGCTTCTGCATGATGTAGATAGTGTAAGATGTGGTTGATGTTCTGTAGGTGCTCCCAGATGAAGCGTCTGATCCCAGCATTTTGTGGGATCATCTGGTAGGAACCATTGGAATTTTGGTAATGGGATTTTGGACCTTTGATTGGGCAATCATCAATGAAAGGGATGGTTACTTTGGGGATTTTGTCCTTCAATATCCAACAGACATCTCCATGGAAAATCTGGATGGCATTTGTGTAGCCCATAGGTAACTTAGTGAGTTGTAGAGTACTGATAGGAGTTTGGAAGGTAGTGAGGTCATGGTAATCATCATGTATGGTGCGATGATTGTATCTGACCATAAGATCCAAAATTCTGTAGACAGAATGGCAAGCGAAGGCTTCAGCAATTGAATTGATGAAGGGGGGAATGGCTGAGTCCTGGATAGAAATGGTGTTTAGAGGTTGTAAGTCATGGATGAGGCACAGAGATTTCCCATCCTTCTTGACTATGCAGAACCATTTTGAGTGATAGGACAAGGTAGACAGTTCATAAACTCCTGCAGAAATCTTTTCTTTGATGATGTTAATGACTTCATGGAAAATAGCAGGGGGAATGGGAATATTTTGCTTCACCCAGGGTTTGTGGGCTAGCATAGGTATCTTCAAGGGTGGGAACATGTCCTCTCAAAAGGTCCCTCTTTCCGAAGCATCCCAAGTGAAGATGGCCTCATGTGTCTTGACCAGCCATTGTACTAGGTCTAACTCTGTAGGCCAAAGGAACCTTTCTGGGTCCAGATTGAGCTTGTCAGCTCTTTCCTGAGTAAACCTGGAACCTGGGATGAATGGTGGGGGATTAGGTAAAACAGGCAGATCCATGAGTGGGTCTTTGGCCTCCCAATGCTCTACCTGGAATTCTGCTGGCATTGATGTTGGTATTGGCCTCACCTTCCTTGCTACAGGTTTGTACTTTAAGACATGATAAACAGGATCAAGCTGATAAGTAGAGTGTAAGGCAGAGATTGTCAGTGGAGAAATGGTAGTAGCAGTCAAAAATAAGAAAGGGTCAGTCAGAGAGATGGAACTAATATCAAAGGGATCAATGGGGAGCATACTGTTGCTTTGTAAATCATAGATAAATGCCATGGCAGAATTTTTGAAAGTGTCTGTAGTTAAAAGGGTAGTAGTCTTTGAAGGTAATAAAGGAGGATCAGAAATGTAGAGAGAACACATAGAGAAAAGATTATCATGGTCTCCTCATGATCCAGACAAGTCATCTACCAACACTAAAAACCCTGCTCAGGCTGTTTCATATGGTGACACATTTGTTTTTGTGTGAAGGAGTCTTCTTCATCTTTGGAATTTATGAAATGTGGAAAGGGATGCAGTCTGTTGCAAGGTCATGTCAGGATTAAAACTTGTTTCCTGGAATTAGGGTTGTGGATTTCTAGAGACTGTTCTCCATCAGGGAAATCATGGAGGATGCTGGAGAGTAGGCAGAAGAAGGGTTGACTGAGCAGTAAGTTGAAAGGTGCATGGTCAATGACTTGGATTTGTAGATGGGCCTTGACATTTCCTATGTGCAAGGTGGCATTCTCCATGACCCCAAGGGTGCTTTCTTTGGATTGGTTAGTGGCCTCCAGAGTCATAGTCATGTCAGTATGGAGGGGGGCCTCTAAGGCTTCCCACAACTCCCATTTCAAGGCCACTACCTGACATCCACTGTCCAGGATACATTCAATGTGATGTTTGTCCATTAGGATGCCATTGACAGCATGTAATGGTGCAGTAGTGGGGCCTACACACTTCCCTTCTGTGTCTCTGACCCAATACTGTTCATAGGATGCCCAGGTAGCAGAGGCAGAAGCTTCTGATGCTGTTTCTAAACTCCCAATGGTTATCTTCTTTGTCGCAGCTAGCTCTCTAACCTGCTTGCAAATCTCTGGGCTGATGGCTAAGAGATCTTTAGTGGAAATTTCCATCTTTGCATCCAAGACTTGGTCTATGAGTCATTTGGTAGCCACTGCTTTGTTGAAACTGCTTTGATAATGAAATTGGGGTGCAGAATTTCTCATAGGCTTGGATTTCCAGAGATCTGTGGGACTAGAGATGACCAGAGTTTTAGTAATGGCTGGGATCTCTGTAGAAGGGATGGAATTGGTTGGTGCAGAATTAACAACTGTCCTGGGGGCAGTTGATGCATTAGCAGGCACTGGACTTGTTGTGGGGTTTTGCAGACAGCAGGCTGGAATATCTACACCATCGAAACAAGCAACCTTCTTCTTCTTGATATTATTTTTCAATTCTTCTACTTGTGCATAAGCTCTTGCCAGGGCATGCTGGTCTTCTTCATCGGCATTACTCTCTAGTTCTTCGTTGATTAGGTAGGAGGAGGGATGTAAGTCAACCTGAAAC